AATAAAAAAATAAAAACCAACATCCCAACCATGTCTTCTCTTGAACCTTCTAGGCCTTAATCACAGCATCCCTATGATATGAACCTTTTAATGTTGACTGGAGTCCTGTCTTCCACTGTTGGTTACCAGCAGTGGGATTTGAGAAGATCAAGAAAGGTTTCATTTGGGCAAGCAATGTCTATCTCTTACTGTACACAGCTTAAGGCCAACTGAAGACAGAAGCAGAATGTGGCCATATTGAATATAATCAAGAAAAGATATCCACTGAAAGGGCACATTGGCTTTCTGTTGCAACAACCAGGAAGAGTCCAGATGCCAGTTCCAGAGCTTCTGGGGCACCTGATGGAACCCCACACTCAGTAAGAGAGCAACATGCTGAGGACTATGAAGAAACAGAAAATGAGGCCAGTGAGGTCCTCTTTAGGCATAAGATGTCCACCAGAAGGTTCTGCTGATCTGGCAGTTTGGCAATAGACTATTTCAGAGCTCCCTTTGTCCAGGGCCCCACAAGACTAGGTTTGGGGTCCGGACAAGCTTAAAACACTAAGAGGAAAATTCTCCAAAGCATGGCTAGGGTTAGGGCCAGGTAAGAGCACCACTTGCTTAGGTCTCAGAAGGGTATTATTTCTGTCATGCAAACTAAGGAGTAAGGAAAGCTGTTCTGACAAAAGAAAATGATGTGTACATAGAGCATGTCCAAAAAGAGACTAAGAAAGCGTGCTACTGTGTGGAAGGATGGCTTCTTTTATCTTCTTTCTGAATCTGCATTGTACTCCTGCCCTGGCATTCCATCAAACACCTTATGTTTTATACTTCTTGCCCCCACCACACACATTTTTCAGGTTTGTTATTTTTATTTTTGTTACTTGCAAGCAGAAAGAACCCTAATAAAATATTCAGAGCCAGTTTCTTGGCTATGTTAAGTTCAGAAATTTAACTTTACCATTTCCATAAGAGCTAATTAACCTCTTGAGAATCAACATGTTAAGAGGACCCATAAGAAAGTGATATGTACGTCAGAATGCAAACTTATCAATCTATAAAGAGAACTTATTTAGAAGAAAAACTTGTATGGATAATTTGCTCTGGGTATTTCACCATGGCAAGTTAAGAACACTCAGGAGAGAAGATAAATTATCAGTCAGAAGATTGTTTGGCAAACATGTAATTACAGAATGGGTAGTCTTCAGGGATTCTTCTTTCAAGTTAGAATAGTTGAAATAGATTTCTTCTGTACTATAAGAATATTTTAAAATCAGTTGTAGTTCTTGAACCCAAACAACTTATTCTGATCATTCCATATATATTTTCTTATATTTTGTTCATGTTATCATTGACTTATTGTACAGTTTTTTTTCTGTTGACAAATGACTCTCCTCCCAAAAGTTTTACTAAATAGTTAACTTTTGATGCAGTAAACTGCATATTGTTTACTAGCTCTAGCATCTGTATTATTCCTCTTACCACCTTCCCAGTTACTCTACATTCCTAAGGGTAATTACCTTTGCAGAATAATTCTGTTGCTTTTAAACATCACACAAGTGAAATTGTATACAATGTGCCATTTTGTGTCAGACGTTTTCAATTTAATAATGTATTGGTGAATTACACTCATGCTGTCCAATGTGGTTGCAATTTGATAAGCAGTTGGAAAGCTTCCAGCTGGAAGTATAACAAATAATGCAGCTATGAACATTATTATACATATCTTCAATGAATATATGTGCATTTCTTAGATAATACATTTAGAATTGAATTTCAGGGTCATAGTCTATGCATTTGTTCAGACTTAATAGATCTAGACAAACATTTTCCAAAGTACAAATGCTAAACTTATGATGAGGCATGTAATCAACATAAGTTGAAAATTTTGTAGTATAAACACATCATTAAATTGAAAATACCATAAGTCAAAAATGCACTTAATGAACCTGTTTTAATCAGATTTGCATGGCTATGACCAAAAGACCTAATAAGAGCAACTTAAGGGAGAAAAGGTTTATTTTTGGCTTCTTGTTTCAGAGGTCTCAGTCCACAGATGGCAGATGCCATTACTATGGGTCTTAAGTGAGGCAGAACATCAGTGTAGAAGGGCATGGCCGATGAAAGAAGTTCATGATATAGTAACCAGAAAGCCTGGAGAGCTCTGCTCACCAGCAATAAAATATAAATCCCAAAAGCATACCCTCAGTGATCTACTGCCTCCAGCCACACCCTACCTGCCTACAGTTACCACCCAGCTAATCCATAGCAGTGGGATAACCCACTAATTAAGTTAAACCTAACATTCTAATCATTTCACCTCTAAAAATTCTTACATTGTCTTACACATGAGCTTTTGGGGGACACTCCATATCCAAACCATACCACCACCCAACTTACTGAACTACATAGCTTAGCAATATGGCATACTGTAGAACACCAGTTATTCTCCCTTGTGATGCCATGATGGGCTTGGCTAGGCTCCCTTCTACTACTCAGAATCATGAGTATATATGTAAATATCACTAGACTAGGAAAAAGAACAAAATTCAAAGAAGTGTGGTTTCTATTAAATACTATCACTTCCAAACCATCATAAAACCAAAAATTCTATGCCAGAACCTTGTAAGTGGGAGACTGACACTTCCATCATTAGTGAAGTATTCCAATTGCTCTACAGGTTCTCCAACACTTTTGTTAAGATTTTTTCATTTTATTCATTGTGATGAATGCCTAGTGGCAACATATTATGGTTTTAACTTATACTGCTGTGCCAAGCAACATGCAGCAAACTCACTATAGCCTATCTTTTCCACTGCTACAATGAAAAACTTAGGAGAAAACACACAAAGTCAAACAGGAAGGAAAGGAAAGGGAAGGGAAGGGAAGGGAAGGGAAGGGAAGGGAAGGGAAGGGAAGGGAAGGGAAGGGAAGGGAAGGGAAGGAAAAGGGAAAGGGAAAGGGAAAGGGAAAGGGAAAGGGAAAGG